CCCTGAACCCAAACCCTAAGCCCTGAACCTCAAAACTAAACTCCAGTCCCAAAATTGTTAGCCCTACGCCCTTGGCACAAGCGGATCCCTCGAGGTTAGGGGAAGACCAACACTTGCGGAGAGCTCGCTGAAACACATGTGCTGAGGGTTCGAGGATTTCCAGGCTCTTTGGGGGTCCCAATGCGCTTGGGGTTCCGTAGCTTTTGAGTAGTTCTCTGGAAGGCTTGCTGTAGGGTTGATATGCTCCTATTGGGCGGTATCCATCTCCAGTATCATTGCTGCCGTTTGGCGCACCTCCTCCATGTTGGTGGGTCTGTATGGAATTTTGGGCTCACCAGCCAACATCCCCTGCCTCCCCAAATGGGGGCTTGGGTATAAACTTCTTGGTGGCAAAGCTGCATCCGCCAAGTGCTTCCCGTATCTGGGTCAGCAGTGGAAGACTTTTTGAGTGCCAAACCCCGCGAGGTACAACAGCCGGAATCCGCCTAAGCCATTTTGGCGAGGAATTGCAAGTTTCAAAAATAGAGCCGGCCTTGACGAGTTTCTCCAAGGAGGACCCCTTAAAAGGCCCTGAAGAACAAACGCTAACCCAGGCATGTGGCTTTTCTGGTGCAACCTGTTTCTCGCAGTGCTGTTTCACGCTGCGGCTGCTTCTTGTGCTTGCACTGGCATAGGGCCGGGAACTGCTGGTGTGTCGCGAGGACGCTGGGAGTGCATAGTTTTCAACAAGGGCCCTCGAAACCCTTACTTCTGAAGGGATCTAGTTTTTTGAGCTTTGATTAAGGGTAGACCCTGAAGATGTGGGTGCCCCATAAGAGGAGACCCCCTTGTCCTTTGTTTCCAGAAGCTCAACCTGTGTTTGGGGTTTGGCTCGCTATGTTTGGGACTGGTTCGCCAAGGAGGTAGCTTTGCAGGATGATGCCCAAGTCGGGAAACACTGAGTTGTAAATGACCCCGCCCACTTAGAGTCACAGATTTTGCTGGTTCGGTTCATCGTGTTTTCGGATTTTTGATGCTTCGGAACGCTGACCAGAAGGTTCTAATTACAATTGACCTCAAGGTCGCTGAAGCTGCTTTTGGTTGGAAAGGCAAAGTGACCCTTATACGAAGCATCAAGTATTTCATGATTTTCTACAGAGTCTGCCACGGACAGGATTACCGGTGGAGTATGGCACATCCTGCGCTGCATGGGATGATGGAGATTGTTCCGCACATGCGTGCGGTTCGCTTGTGCCTTGCTCTTTATGGCGTACTTATTTCTTTTTGGTATTGCAGGCAGATCACAACTCCATGCACAGTGTCAAGGGTCGCTGATTGTGATTCAGGTTCAGTGTAACGAGATCTATCCGGATGCGACATCTGGAGTGTGGTGTTGTCACCCATGGTGCTACGTGGATCCTTCCTGTACTTTACTAGACACTCAGCCGACGACGATTAGCGGTGCGCAGCAGCTTTATTATTCTTACCAAGCATGTGCAAACCGCACGACCCCGAAATACACGGATGCCACGTGCCCTTGGCAGCAAGCCGTGTCATTCGAAGATGCGGCAGCAGCCATTATGGTTGCTGAAAAGATTGGCAATTTGCTGGCGGACAGTGGGACGACCGATCTCGCAGTGATCACAACCCCTACCTCGAAAGAAGTGGCAATCACAGCAGGTAAGGATGCCACGCTGTGTTTATACGTTCTTCGAGCTTACGGTGGTCAGAGGACGTCATGCGTTCCAACTGGCGATCTTCCAATCTACAGCTTCGCCGCAACATCTGAGTGGATTGCCACTGTGACTGAAGGAGCCGCTGTGATCCAGTTTTGGAATTTGGTGGATTCAGAGAATCCATCCTTAGTGCTGCAGGGCTCCCTGAACGTGACTAGCCCAGTTCGCTATTTGAAGCATAGCCGGTTCGGTTTGCTGGCTTCTGGGGCATCGTTGAAGCATGGTTTCCTTTTTTCACATACATTCGCACACAATAATCAAGTTGCAGGTCCTCCGCCATCGCCTTAAACCTAAGCCCAGGCTTCTGGCGAAGATGAGCTCGTAACAGTTTGGCCTGTGACCAACCTGCAGCAGACAATGGCAGGTGACCTGTCAAGATGTGCATTTCTACTGCTTGTATTACTTTGGTGGTGCCACCACTCCAGATATCACAACCACCACTGCCACAACCCCCCCATTGCGGCCGCCATGGGTACTGACATTGCCGCTAGGAAAGACCCACAACCACCGCCGTCTTGATCTTGTCCTTTTGCTTGATCGTTTCTATCTATGGCATGTTCGCTGTACCATTGCTTGTGGGGAAATGCATGTGGCTCCTTGCGTTGGCCATCGCAATTCTTCCAAGTGGCGTGCTTCTGAATATGATTAATTAGTGTCATGAAGTTGCTGCGGTTATAACATCAGGCAGTGAACCAGCTGATGGGCAGCTGGGTCCGTTTTCCTGGGCACCGGCAGCTGTTGAGGAGGTGTGGACTTCTGCATCCTTGTATTTGCATGGTGGCTCCTTTGTTGAGCTTCTCTTGGGGAAGAGTAATGTAGGGAAACTGGCAGGTGACATTTCGACAGTCAACAGGCCTTGCGTGCGCATCCTTCCAAGAGATTGAAATTTGGATGAAGTTGCCGCTTGGCTGTCCCATATCCGACAAGCTCTTTTTTTTTGAGAAGGGCTAATTATGTTCAGCCCTGATTAGACCCCAGGTCCCAAGCCCTTGAGTCTGAAACCTGAAGCCTAAACAAAAAGGCATAAACCTGAATATGGAGTTTGGGGCTTTTAGAGGTGTAGCAGGTTTGTCTCATTTTTTTCGTGGTCCTTTGAGGGGCATCCTTCTGCTCCACCAAGAGCTGGCCTCAGAATTTCGTGCTTAGCGGCTTAGCGGCTTAGGGCCTTCTGTTCCTTGGAATGGAAAAGCAGACCCCCCTCTCAGGACACCGTCTGTTGTCACTGAGAAGCTGCCATGCCCAAAGCCCTGAACCCAAACCAGAGCACCAAGGAAGGGCGTGTGGACCAAGCTGCAGAGCTTGCGGGGGCATTCGCGGCTCGTGACTGGCCTGGCGTTCCTCTGAAATTGATGAATTTAAACATGGTTTGTGTGTGTAAAACTACCTCAGCCCTTTACAGAATAGCAAAGCTGGTGTTTAATAGTACCTCAACAAGAGTCCAGGTTCCTTTCCTCGCTTGGACTATTGGCCAGTGCCTCCATGGACTCCAACTTGGCGATATGGCATGTTGCTTACCCTGCGAAGCGGGTTGACACAGCTTGGGGTGATTTTTCGGGTCGATGCCGCCCAATTCGGCCTTCTTAAAGGGTAAGGGTGTCCCGGACTGGGGAATCAAGGCCATTATGCTAGCTGACGACGAGTTATGGTTGCTTTCATTGTGGGCTCCGAGGCCCTACCAGCCAGCTACACATATAGTTCAGAACAGGTATACGCCAGGGGCAGGGACCGAAATTATCAACCTACATCCTTCAGGCCACGAGCACCAACTGGTCTCTGGTACCCGCCGGAACACACTTGAAACGTATCCTTATTTCAGCCTTTGCTTGCGGAGCAGCTTGACTCATCCGGCTCCCTAGCAAACGAACTCCGAAAGTTCTACTAGAGATGCTTGGTACTAGAATTCTGTCGTTGTCGCAAATCTTGTCCGACAGCGCATCTTCGGTGTGTGGTCCCCACAGAGAAGAAAGGTCAGTGTTCTTGGGTGCTGAGCCTCGAAGTGGTCCCCCCGATTCCTAAAACTCTGTTGCACCTGACTCCACCAACACTCTAAACCCTTGGAT